CGGTCCGGAGCGGTGTCTTCCCGAAGCAGCTGATGGCTGAGGCAGAGAGCGGCGCGCCCAGCTTGCGCACATGGCCCTCGCGGGCGAGTGGGCGGTGCTCCGTGGAGCGCTCGCCGCTTGACCTGCCCCGGCCGCCCGGCGCAGAGCGCAACCGACCGCCTCCCCTCCTTCCTCCCCGCCCCGCCGCCGCCCCGCCCCGCGTGACTCACCGCCGCCGCGATCGAAGTCTGCCGACGCGGCACCCCGCCTTCGCCTCGCTCCCCGCCCGGCCCCGTCTCGATCCGCTCGGCAGCGCGCCGGCTTCGCCTGCTCCTCTGACAAAGCTTCGGGGCTCGTGTGTGATGCACGCCCGCCTTGCATGCGTAGGGTAAGGCAAGCGAGGCCGCGACGAGAACAAATACAAGGTGTAGGCTCTTTTCCCTCGGGAGAGGATCCGGTTGTCGCATCGGGTTGCGAGTTGGTCTGCTTGGAGTTGCAGAACGAGTTGCATAATACGCCAGGACATCGTCTTATTAGTCTTCCAATATATTGACAGTACACGCGTCTGATAGGCGAATTTCTGTGTGAAGGAAACCTTGCGAAAGGAGAAAGTACTGACGTTGACAAATTATTTTTGTAAGTCGACGTAGTAGAAACCGACTTTCCAAAAGTATTATATATAGTTTTTACTCGCATTCAAATTACTGTAGGAATTTGAACCATGTGAATGCGTTCATTTTGCTTTTCAATGGACTGGCTGTGTCTCTCTGACTGTCTTGTCTCTCTGATTGCCTTTGCCTGTCTAAGTGTCTGTCTCTCCTCTCTCTCTCCTCTCTCCCCTCTCTTCTCTCTCCTCTCTATCTCATCTCTCTCCCCTCTCTCTCCTCTCTCCCCTCTCTTCTCTCTCCTCTCTCCTCTCTATATCCTCTCTCCCCTCTCCTCTCTCCTCTCTATCTCCTCTCCCCTCTCCTCTCTATCTCCTCTCCCCTCTCTTCTCTCTTCTCTCTCCTCTCTCCCCTCTCTTCTCTCTCCTCTCTCCCCTCTCTTCTCTCTATCTCCTCACTCTCCCCACTCTCCCCTCTCTCAATCTCCTCTCTCTCGTTTCTGTCTCCCTGCCGACATTCACTTGTGATTATCAAGGAAAGTCAGGGAATCATAGAAAAGTCGGGATATTCCGTTTTGCCACAAGCAATGAGGGGCAATTTTGTTTTGAGTTTTCTTTGTGAATCCGGCGTGGTTTCGGAAGAGCAACCGGAGCAGGGGCGCGAGTGTGTGGCGGTGGCTGCGAGCGCCTCGTCTCTTGGAGGGAGGCATCCCTCGCCCCGTTGCGCTCGCCCCCGAGTGACTCACCGGCGGGAGGTGCATGCGCAGCGATGCACCGCACCGGGCGAAGCCAGCCGGGTCAACGCCCACTCGTGAGGCGAGGCGAGCCCAGCCCCTGCCCCGCTGCGCTTTCTCGGCCCGGGCGACGCGACGCGACGCGCCGTTTCGTACGAGGGAGCGCACCGCGGCCGGCGGGGGTTCCCCTCTGCGGCCCAGAAGACGCGGCGTGTTCTACGTTGCGTGGGGTGCGGTGCGACTCTCGCAGAAAGAAGAAAAGCGCAGGAGCGGAGGAACGTGCGGGCAATAAAAGCTGGGGCCATTATAAAATAATTTTTTAAATTGTTATTTGTTTAATTACGTGTTTTTGAGGTTGAGATTTCATTTCCTAAACTATAGTTTTAGGATACTATTAGTAATCATTATTGTAAGGACACTTAGTAATTTACGTAATATTTGCGCCTTATATTCATGATCGCAAAAAAAAATTCTGTTGCTTTTTTTTTTAATTTGCCGCCATTCTTGTAATATGTAGTACACCAGACAATAAAAATTAATTATTGCTAACATCACAATCTGTTACGACGAAATTGAGAACTGAGTTACTGAGTAATATTGTAAGTAAAAATAATGAAAATGAATATACTTTTTTCCTAAAAGATGGACATTATTATTATTATTATTATTATTATTATTATTATTATTATTATTATTATTATTATTTGCGTTGCTATAGGAGACCCCTTGTGGCCCCGCCTTTGAAGAGCCATGTCGTAGTTTTGCTTTACAACAGCCCTTGCTTTCGATTCTTTTTATGTTGAAAATGAAGCGGACCCTACCAATTGCGGCCAGGCGCCCTGGAGCCGTTTTCTTGCTTCGCGTTTTTGTGTTGTGCGTGCGCGAAACGGCCCTGCAGCGCGCCGCGCGGGCGCGGAACGTTGCGTTTTCTGGGCTTCTTCGCAGCAGCGCGTTTTCAGAAGGGCCTGCGTCAATAACAAGATGAGCCACACCAGCCACAGAGAGCCTGCCGCTTTTCCTAAATGTTAACGAGTCGCTTCTGGTCGAAGTTTGGCTCATTTTGTTACTCCCCAAGCCCTAAGCGCATGATCCATGAACAAGACAGACGAGTTACAACATCAGCCACACTTCAAACAACATCGAGATATTAACGTATAGGAATTGCGAGCGGCTTGCTGATGCTGGTATGACTTATCTCGTTATCAAGCTCCAAACCCTTCACCTCCTCACTGTGGAACTGTGGCGTTCAGTGCAAAGATGAATCGGCGCATAATATCCTTTCAAACCACTCCATTCATTCACGATAGCGCAAGAAAACAGCATAAAAGCGTGCTGCTCTAAGGGCAGATGAAAGCCCTCTCGCGAGGAAGGGCTGAGGGCGAGGGCGGGCGCGCGCAGGGCCTTAGGGCTTCCCTCCCTCGCTTCTGCACGGCCCTTTGGAGCTCACACCGCTACGGGCGCACTGTATCGATTTGGGAACCTTATACCTTCTCAAAGAAAAGGGAGAGGGGGGATGGCAAAAAGTATTACGTTAAATTAATGTGGACAGCGAATTTAATATACACGAGTCATCAAACATAAAGTACGCGAAACTCCATTAGGATTAATAACGTGTATTTTCACCAGCGAAAAATTAATATCAACTAAAGGAATTCTGGATTTTTGTATTTCGATAAAAATACCCTTTGGTTTGACTCTACTTTTACGGAACTTATTTTCAGTTATTTAAGTTCAACAAACTTCAATAATTGAAAATAAAAGTTCCGTTTGTGATAATAATTGTAATTGTGAAAATAAAAGTTTGTTTTGTAAAAATACTGTTTTGTAAAAATTGAATATTATTTTTTAATAATGGGCTGCCGAAAGCTTTGTGGAAATGCCCGATTCCTTATTTGCATTTTGTTTAACGGAAAATGGATATTTTCACGCGCGTATCCTTTTCTTCGGCGAGGGTCGTGATCTCCGTGACGTCACTACGGATCCGCCACTGAGGACACGTCCGGAAAACCCTCACCGTGCCAACACCCTCCACCTGCCGTGGCCTTGTGACACCCGACACTCTCCGCCCCAGATTCTCGAAACTGCGCGAGATGCTTCGACCTGTTCTCCCGCAAAGGAAACAGCGCTGGATTGTATTTGCTCAAAGGAGGTATGGTTTGTGTGTGTAACGTGATAATCAGGACCGTACCGTTTTCTGGCGATCAGTGTCGGATGAATGCTCGTTTTCACCATGTGCAAGCGCCGCGGAAAGTTACTTCTCAACGGCAAATGCACGTTGGAATATTTTAGGGGTGGTGAAGTTCAATTTGTTTTCTCGCACGCGCGAAAAAAAAAAAAATGCTGAACGAAGCCAACGGGGCATTTCAAGAAGAGCCCATAAACCTCCCAACGCGATGGGGGTCGTAAAACGCGCAACCCACGGAGCGGCACTGCGGAATGTGCGATGCGCTCCTTGTGCCAAGTTGGAGGGGCGATGGGGGGATGGGACTGCTCAACCATTCATCATTCTGTGAAAAAATAAATTCATAATTCTATGAAATAACTTTTGATCTTTCCAAACATCATTACTAGCCAACTGAAACTGGAAAACCAAATAATTGTGACCCGAATGTAATGTTAAACATCGATGGTTAAAAATGATTTTTCTTGGGCAGGGGTGTCCAATTTCCAAGGCATCAAGGACCAAAACAAAAACCTTTCATATGGCTGCGGGCCATATTTTCATTAATGGGGAGATAAAACCACGTGTGATATCGGGCCGGGCCATACCAATAACGCAGTGAAATACATTGGGATGATTTTGAATTCCTGAACTTACTTGAAAATGTCTGTGGATCTAAACCTAACTATATATATATATATATATATATATATATATATATATATATATATATATATATATATATATATTAAAAGGGGTTTTGACCCTGGCAGGGTGCGCGCGGTAGACGCGCAATGTTCCTGTCTGACGTAGATGAAAGGGGATTTCAGGGGATTTCACTTCTGACTCAACTTTGCACAACCCAGTTCAAGGGCTTTTGTAGTCTATAGCCGACTTGATGTTTTCTTTAAAAAATACTTTTTCAATTATTCTGAATTTACTTTTTGTTTGTTCATTTATAGTTATGAAACGATTTCATTCGAAACATTGAATGATTTCCATTTCTACAGAAAATTAATAAAAACTGTATTTGTGGAATAGATGGAATCATCTCCTGGGGGAGGTAAACGTAGACGTTCGTTTGATTTCGCTCTGTTGGCATGAATGGGTGGCTGCAGCCAAGTAATGCTTTTTTAAAGATGTTTTTGCTTCATTAGTTGTTAAATAGGTTCATCTCCCAGGAGGTCAATGTTGCCACCTCGTCAAATCCTCCGCATTCGAGGTGTAGGTAATAGTGTGCCAACTAGACGTATTCTCTAATTGGCCTGAGCTCGTAGCGTTGCTCGCCCCTGCTGCAAAAGGGCGCCTTTTTCATCTTCCTCAGCGGGCCACGCCTCCTCTCCCGCCTCCCCTTGGCGCTGCTCGAGCCTCTTGAGCGAAATTGCTGCCAGGACAGGGACTCTCTGATGTGAAATGAGCGTTTTAAATTACTTTGTTGCAATTTTGAAGCGTGCCTTTTATGATGGAAAAGGAGCTTCTAGAATGGGAAGAGTCTCAAAGTTGGCTTCTTTTTATGTTACAGGCGACAGAGTGTGCTGTTCATCAGTCAATTATGTAACTTGAGACAAACTGTAAGTAAAATAACTTATGGCTTTTAGTGTAAATTGCCTTAATGCTAAAACTTCGTGTTTTCTTACTCCCTTAACATGAAATTTCCAAAGATATTGGCCAGTGACTTTGTAATGTGTTGGATCCCGGAGGCACAGTGAACTTATCATATCTAGGTGATTGATGTCACTATACTGTCAAAGGTTAATTATTTTACGACGTCGAAATTTGCGAATAACGAGCTGTGAGGAAGAGTGTCTCTATATTCTCAGAGAGATTATGAACTCGTTTGTGCTTGATGACCTTATCATTAATTACTCCGGTATGTGTATATTAAAGGGGTTCTCTAGTGATCGTCCACGTATCTTTAAATTGAACAGATAATTTTCTTGATTTTAGTCTTGAAAATAAGGGCAAAGGAAGTAAAGGAATTGCCTACAATGTTCCAATTTGACAAATTTATTACCAAATTTTGAAATTTTCCTTAATTAAATTCCATTAAAAATGAAATGTTATATTTTATTCATTGATAACTTTTATTGTCAGTAAAAACTGAAAAAATAATATTATGATAAAAAAAATAATTATGGTGTGATCTGGCTTCGCTTGGTGAGGACCAAATAAAATAAGACAGTTTGAAATACTAAATAGTACTTTCAAGAGTATAACGTTTTTGCACAACAGATTCGCTAACACTTTTGTGTTGAGCCTATTTAAATAATATAATTTATTATTAAGTATTTCGCCATCAGGGTAGAAAATGATAAGTTATTAAAAATACTTCACAAAGCGGCCCGAATGGAATGAACCAACATAAATAAACATAATTAATATAAATCATTCCATCATCATTATTACATAAAAAAAATATTTATTCGCCGTGTGGCCGAACAAAACGAGCAGGGAAGTTCGAAAACCTGTTAATATCCGCCTTTCCAAAGACGTCGAAGAGATTCTCTCAATGACTACATGATATTTCTTCTCCAGCCAGAATCCCCTTCGCTTGCGGTCACTCTGATCATTTCTCACGTGACAACCTCTCCTACGCGAATTGCGCTCTTTAGTCAGCATTCGCATAGGAGGACACTATACGCTATTTACTTTTCCTATTTCCCTTTAACATCTTAATAAATGAGCTTAGAGAATTGAAACAATAGTACCCACACATTCCGGACCTGTGGTAGAAGACTGCTGTCGAAGTGTTCAGAGAATTCAAACCATGGGATCTTCACTTCTTAGTGGACCTCCGGTAGCCGACCGCCGCCGTGGTGTTGAGCCGAGGGCGTCGGCGGGGCCGCGTTGCGGGGGCAGTCGCTCTCGCGGCGGGGCGGCGCGGCGCGGCCTGCATTGCGTTAATCCGCCGTTCGGGGAAGCGCCGGCGACCGCTTCCTGGTTTCGGCGCTGCTTCCGGGAAGCCCGCCCGCTGGACCCCGCGTGGGAAGGTGTCGGCGACGGCAGCTGCACGCGGGCCCCGCGACGGAGTCTAACGCAGGACCCGACGCGAAGCGACGCGTCGCAAGAGGAAAATCGTGTAAAGCCATGCGGAGAAGCGAGATTTGGAACCAATTCGTGTGTTTTTTCCAGGCGAATACACGCGTCGAGAACGATGTATGATGGATGAACTTACGATCACGGAAGGGATTTTTTTTTAATTCCATATATGGCAGTATAAACACAAGGTGTCATAGTTTCATTTTTTTAAGCCCCATTAACCGCCATTATTATTTCTATAGTAGACATGCGTTGTAATGGATTTTCATAACAAATGAAATGTCAAAAGAAAGAATTTCACGGAGATAAGAATAATTCCATCTTCACTTTAAAATATGAATATTCATTTGTTGAAAAACGCGCTGTAGGTGCAAAAACAACCCCTTTACACGACAACCCCTCAACACTGTCTCTTCATATACATCGGGCTTAATTCGAAAATGATGTGTCGTCGCGCTGCACAATCTTGTTTTCAAGGCAGCAGTATCTCGAACTATATTAAAAAGTTTGCGCTAACGGGCTCGTCCCATTTGAAGAATATCGGACGGGAGGTTAGGAACGGATTTCCACATTCTCACTTGCGTAACACTGAATAATGCGGTTTGGACGAGGCATTTCATTCAAATGGTCGTTCTGCTTCACGTTGCGTAATGTATGTACGTGCGCTGCTACTTGACCGCTGATCCTGCATCACGTTGAATCCTACCTTAAGGCAGCGATAGATTTAGGATATAAAATTACACCTAAAACTCTATTCTTTTGCTTTTTTAAAAATTTAAAAAAAAAAAAACTATGAAAAAACCACTTATAGTAGCTTAAAAACGGTTGAATTATGTTGCTTTGGCAAGGGGCGTTGTAGTTTGGACGAATGTTTGGGTTTGCAGACGTTAGGATAATGGAAGTATTCACTTATCCAGATACGTGTTAACGCACTGCTTAGCATTAAGTGGATAGGAAGCAGATTCTGTACTCAGAATGCATAGTGCCTAATCACGTAGGTCGTTGTTTTAACTCGAGGGTAACCAGATGTTTACAGAGAGTACTTCAGCGACTCTGTTGGAACGGTCTCAGAATCAGTAGAAATCGGGATTAGTTGGGCATGTGTCCTCGAATTGACACTCATTGCCATTCTAAAGCCCGGTCTTCGGAGCGTCTTTGATCAACACTGCGAAATCGGCAATGCGGATGCGCTGCAGATCAACCGGCGCAGTGGCTTGTGGACCCGGCTTGTTGCTCTTTAACCACTATCTTGACAGCGCATACATTTTGCTTGACTTATCGCCTCCTGGCACCGCGGCTTTGTTCTTATCGGCGCGGGCGCGTTGGCTCCCTCGCAGTGCGTCTGCTGCGGCGGCGCCCGTGCGTGCGGCGCTGCGGGCCGGCGCGAGACGCGGGCGCGGACCCGCTCGTTAGGCCTTCGCCGTCGCTCGCGTATTGCACAAGCGCCCACCCCCGTCGGCGGCCGGCGGCGGCCTGTGGTTAGCCATGCAAATGACGCGCGAACCCCGCGCGGCGGACGTTCCAGTAGCGGCCCGCCCCCGCCTCGGTCCCCGCTCCGCTCCGCCTGCTGGGGCCGTCGCCGAGGGCGTTGCAGATGCAGATACACGCACGGCGCGGGAAGCAAAAAGCGAAAGGGAGGAGGGGAAGATACGACCCTAGAACGACTCATTGGTTGTTGATGTTAATGAATCATGACGACGATAATAAGTAATGTAACGTTCGTAGTACTACCCGGCAGTTGTCGGTTATTATCTTATTGACTGCGATCTCATTGAATGATTTACTGGAACTCCGAGAGCGCGATACCCTTCTTACAGTTATCACGAAATCTCTGCGAAAGCTTCGCCGAGATTTCAGAGTGCCTGAGTGGACGTGTTAGCGGGCCTAAGATTTTGAGGAATTAGTTGAGTTCTGCAGTAGCGAGGCGGTTTTTTATACTAAACCTTGAGCATTGCCTGTTATGTAAAAGGAAATTGTTGCTATTTTGTGTGTTTAAAATGTCGAATAATATTGAATAAATGCTACTGTGTCTAGTTTTGTCTCAGGAGCGGAATATTTAGTACTTTGCACAGATTGAAGTCTTGCCGCATAAGGATTTGGGTTTGGAAAGGCACGGCATAGCAATTGTTCCGGGTGGCAGCCGTGGATTTCACCCGTTCTGCTAAGTAATAACGACTTTTAAGTCCTCCTTTTGCTTACATCTGTTGTCGATTACCATTAAATCACTAGGATAGTGGTGTATAATTACGTGGGAGAGGTTAGTGAATAGCTTGTCCTCAAAAGGGCACTCTTAAAATTAGACACTTTTGCTAAATTACGAGTACACTAAACAGGATCTTGCATGATTCTACCGAGGGAGTGGAAAATAATTCATATAGCAGCGCTGCCATATCAGCTGAAAACTGCGTGCGATATAAAAAAGGGCTTGCGATTTCTGCACAAAAACTAAATCATATTCACTATTCAATGGTACCTGGTCATTAAATCTCAGGGCTCAAATGAGCGAACGTATTCTTTCAAACCGCAAGTCGCGAAATGTGTCGTGGTGTACCAGTACCTGTGTCATGCGTGTTACAGGCCGAAAGGAATGTAGTGCAGATCATTATGTACACGCAGATGTCTCGATGTCGCTCGAGTGAAGTCCATTTACAGCTTTCACTATCCTTTCCCTTCGTGCGGCCCATTCGTCAACAGCATTAGACTTTCCAAGCGTTTTGCTATTATTCTACATTTTTTGAAATCGACTTCCAAGTTCAAAGGTTCGGAATTTCACATACCGACTGAGGACATGTTGTTAATTTACGGCGATATTTCGTGATACACAAACTAATATTCTCTGCTGTGCAGGAACTAACATAATTTAAACATTCATTTATTTCGTATTTTGCGCATTGATGACGAGAAGACAAGTTTCAGTGTTTCGTAATAGTTTTACATCGTAAGCGGAAATTTGCTTCTATTGTCAGGTAATGTGTGAAAGGTTCCCGGAAAATTGTCACTGAACTATTGTATTTCAATATTTTACTTTTGTCTGCGTGTAAAACGTTCCAGGTGTCCAGCACGTAGTAGTTCAAGGGAATGCTCGTAATATAAAAGAGCCTTTAATTTACACACCAAAACCTATTTCTGAAAGGAGACTGAACTTGCCTTCGTTGTCGCGAAGTATTTGAACTTCAACTTTCCCTAGTTTGTTTTCTGATTCAACGAGTGGAAGTTGAAGATTATCCTCATTTATTCTTAATTGATTTTCATGCTATCAGGAACTGTGCTGTTTCGCTCTTCTGCCTTCCTTCACATGAGTTCGTATCACTGGCTTTGTAAAGCCCGAAGGAGCGGCTGATTACATCCTAGAGAAGTGTGAAAGCCGTGTAGTGGCAAAGAAGACAGGATGTCTGCTGCAATGGGTGAAATCGTAGTAAATCAAATGAACGTTAATTGTTCGTTAAACTATTGGAAAGGTATCCGTTAACATGTTGAAGGCGAATGGAAGAACAAATTTTCAAAATGACTTATCTTCAAGGCGTATTTGATA